AATTTAACTTCTTAGAAATTATTTTGCATTAAATATATTTCTCATAATTTTAAAAAAAAACATGCGAAGAAAAAGATTTACAAATTTAGAAGTCCTCAGAATGTGATGCGTTAAGTCGTCGAGAATATACAATTTTCATAAAGATCTTGGATTATGTGCAAATTTACAACTATTATCATCATATTATTTTACGTTTAAAAAAAAGGATTTTTTTTTACTTTTTTTAAAAAAATATTTAAAATTTATGAAAATACTTAATACAAGTTTCATTTAAACATTCAAGCATAATTTATGATAGGGATTAAAGCTCAGAAAGACATTTTGGGGAAATGTAGATAATAATTTAAATAGTTTAAATAAAATAGTTTTTGAGAAATCATGCGTGCGAAAGTTTAGAAAGTTATTTAAAGAAAAAAATTTTTTATACTTTTTTAAAGCTTATTAATTTTTGGATTGCTTTTTAATTGTAAGGATATGTGATATTTTTCAAGGATTCAAATCATTTCCAGCAATATTTGTTTTCATTCGATAAAAAAACAACTTAAAACTCTACTTGTTTTATAGAAGTAGAAATGTTATGTGTTTCCTCATGCTTTAAAAGATAATATTCTTAATAAAAATAATGAATAAATACTATACATTGTATTTTTAAAAGATTTTTTTTCTTAAATAGCTTGCAAATGTTTGCTATATATGAAATAGCAAGTTAGAAATAATTTATACAGTTTGCTATAGCCTGTTTTTTGCTTCAGTGATCGGTTTGTTAAAAAAGAAACGTTTCTAGAATCGGATTTGCCGGAGACGAAATGTCGGTAGACTATTTGTTCAGTAACGAAATAACAGCAGCCGCGACCGTCTGTAACCAAGAGATTGTACACAGTAAAAAAAAAAAAAAAGGGGAAAATAGAATGCCTAAGGGTATTTTTCGAAACTTTTTCGCCAAAGGAAATACAGAATCCACAATTTGGAGTTTCCTAAATGCAAGTAGAGCTATATCGTTTTAAACTACTCTGTTGTTCAAAATTAACAGAATTCTTTCATATTTAAAGGATGATTATCTTTAAAACTACTGGACATATTTATTATTAAATTTTATATGAACATTGGTTGATAAACGAATCATTATAAAACGATTCATTAGTAATAATTAACGAAAATAACGATTCATTAGTAATAATAAAAAATATACACTAAAAAGTTGCTGTATTTTGTAGTATTTCAATGTATTAGAGTTTTTTCTTTCTAGATTTTCAAAACATAAAAATTAAGTCATATTATTTCCTATCTGAGTCATTGCTTACCTAAAATTTGCGAAGTCACTTTTAGTGGTTTTTCTATTAGCAGATAGAAATAAATAAAATTATAATGAATTAAAATGAAAAATATATAAATAAAGAAGCGATAACAATTTTCTTTTAAATTTAAAATATTTCTAAGAATATTTCAATTAGATTTCAGAACAGTTGAGGATTCCCTGACGTCCCCTAGAAAAAGAATACAAAATGTTAGACTCATGTAGCTGACGTTTACCAGTAAGGCAACCAGTTTATATATCCTAATGCAGTGGTCCCTAACCCCCGTACCTCTCCGTGGATGCAATTTTATTGGTACTGGTCACGTAAGGAACATTTAAATATCTTCATTTTATTGACTGTGGGGTATTTCCCACTGGTTTGTTAGACTTTTTATGGACGATAGGTTTAACTGGGAGCTGCCGTCACACAACGCAAGTAACTGTATTTTGTTAGGAAGGCATGATTAAATACAATTAAATTAAAAATATTACATTAAAACCATCTAAAATATAAGCAATCAATCCCTCATCCTCAATCACAGTGGTAAAATTATCAAACGCCGATTCACGATGATGAAAAGGTTGCGGAGCACTGTCCTAACGAACTCGATGCCTCGATTGATTTTGCAGCCACTGACAAAATTTCTCTCCACTTTATACTGCTAATTCTTAGAGTAGCTGCTTTATGTCTCTTCATTGATTGAAAAAAATATTGCATCTCGCAGGGAACTGATCGTTAAGACACGGTTCCCAGCAGATCACCGAAGTCAAGCATCACTGACTGCGGTCAGTGTGCGGGTGGGTGACAACTTGGATTAGTCTGCGTAGGGTACGAGGGTGTGCGGTATCGGTCCTCGTTAAACATGTTCTACCGTGAATTGTTCGACTTCACGTGCAGGTCGTCGGGCTACCGAAGCGGGGGTGCCATCCCCTCTGCAGAAGATCAAAATTTCGATGGCATGTCTTCGGATCATCCTCAGAAATGTTTCCCAGACCGTCGCTAATAGCCCGTTGTGCAGCTCTAGTGTGAAGTAAATTAGCAACAACAAAAAAAATATTGCAATACGCATGCAATTAGAATAGTTGATTAAAAGGAGTGGAAGATTTTTATACGCACAGAGAAAAAAAATATCTGCCAAAATAACCATACTTGTAGGAAGACATCACTGGTGAAAGAAATCACAATTAACCCAAAATATACGGTATTTAAATCATCCTCATGGTAACTTTTCCGGAAATTCTACTTCATAGTTCTTATTACAACTCATTTAGTAACAAATACAAAACTGGAAAGGAAATTTAAACGAAATAGATGATTTTTATACCATGTTCTAACGTAGTGGTCTCCAACCCGCGGCTCAAATGGTACTGGATCGCCCAAGGAAATTAAATTATTTCCTTTTTGTTTAATGCGATGTATTTCACTCGGGTTTGTTCCACGGGGGAGAAGAGAGACGACACCTAAAATCACATCAATATCGCACATGTAACTGTATTTTATTTTGAAGGTATGTTTAATTACAATTAAATTAAAATTATTAAATCAAAGCAATCTAAAATATAAATAATCAATGTACCTCCTCACTCAGCGAGAAAATTATCAAATGCTGACCGGCCCAGCATTGGAACTCTCATGAAGACACGGTTCCCTGTGGGTGCGCGGTATTGGTTCTCGTTAAACTGTTCTACCGTAAAGTGCTCGACTTCACGTGCAGGCCGTCGGACAACCGAAGCAGGGGAGCCATCCCCTTTGCTGGGGATCAAAATTGTGGTGGCAAGTATCGTAATAAATTTTCTAAAATGGTTTTTGAACTGTCGGTCATTTCACCTTTTATTTGGTAAATTTAACCCTTCTATGTCTATAATCTTTTAAAATGGAATGGTAATAATCCGTTTACCCTTGTATGGTTTATTTAAAATGGCGGTTTATTCAAATGGTTAATAGAAGTTAGATAACTGTTAATTATTTCTTATTTTAATATAATTTCTCAGTTATAACAAAGGGATTGTAGCTGTTGTTAATTTACGTCACACTAGAGCTGCACAATGGGCTATTGGCGACGGTCTGGGAAACATCCCTGAGGATGAACCGAAGACATGCCATAACAATTTTGATCCTCTGCAGAAGAGATGGCACTCTCTCTTCGGTTGCCCGACAACCCGCACGCGAAGTCGAACACTTTACGGTAGAACACTTTAACGAGGACCAATACCGCACACCATCAGCCCCTACGGAGACTGATCCAAGTGGTCACCCACCGGCACACTGACCGCAGTCAGTGATGCTTGACTTCGGTGATCTGCTGGAAACCGTGTCTTAACGATCAGTCCACCGCGGAACCATATAACTAGGGGAAAAAGGTGCATTAATGATAGTTTCAAATGTTTAATTAATGTGTTTTGAGGTTACTAAACTCCGATATCTCAAACTAAGGCGACTGTTTTATTCATATTTTATGGGGGTAGTTATAAATGGGTTTCTTTGTAAACAACAATACCGGCTTAAAACTTTTTTCACTATGAGAAACAGACAGTATAATTTTATGAAAGCCAGCAAGAATATACCAGTGTTATAGCGGGTTTCAAACACATTGCATCTATGATTCAGATCGATTAGAGGAATTGCAATACTGCACTAGAGGTTCAAGTAAGACAATCATACATTATCAGGGACTCCATTGCTGTGCGGTTTCGTTCTTCCGCAAAACGTTTTAGAGCATAGAGGTAGCGAGTTCAATATCTTTGTGTTGTTCTTTACCTTTTTGTGCTACCTATTCTGTCATTTGACCGGATACAAGGTATTCTTTGCATAAAGCACATGAGTCTGTACATGTATGTGAACCAAACTTGCATATTTACTGTTGCGCATACATGGTTACGCTTTGATTCGAACCTGTTATCTACGCTTTAAATAGCGTTTGGTGAAAAGAAGTGACAGCTTCAAAAATATAACTGAAAAACCGTCAATATTCCTTGAATGCATTTATTTTTATAGATATCTATCAGCCTTGTGTGCTTATTGCAAAGAACGATTTATTATAAGCCCTTCCCAAGAAGAGATTGCTTAAATTCGAGAAAAAATTTACAAAAATGCATCTATTGTGATGTGGAGGTAACACCATCTCCCCGGATGTATTTTAATGTTTTGTGCTATCAGTATTTCGACATGACTAAAGCTTGACTTCGACTTGACTACCCAGCTTTGAAATAAGAAAACAAGCCTACGAACAAAGTCGAGCCTTGGTGGCTCAGGGGATAGAGCGTCCCCCCCCATAATAAGATGAACCGGGTTCGAATCTCAGCAATGGCTGGTCGATGCGAATTCCGTACACCCGGCTAGTACCGATCACAGTGCTGTCGTAAAATATCCTTAGTGGTAGAAAATCATGAATGAGAGTCCTCTTGCCGACAGACTAACAGTGGGAGGTTTTCGTGGTTTTCATCATCGTGTAACGCAAATGCGGGTTGGTTCCCTCAAAAAGACCACCACGAAGGTAAACTTTCTCCAATGCTTGATCCTGGAGTTCCCTTGCTTTCTGGATAGGGTTCAAAATTACATGGCTGTAGAGTTGAACATTGGTAGTCAAAATTGGGTCGGCTGTTCAACGACGGTTAAAGAATGAAAAGTAAAATAGATGCAGCCATTCATCATTACAAAAGCACTTCGGTAAAAATTACCGTGCTTTTTGGTATTCCTATTGAACCAGAAAAACGGTTAAGTTTTCCATATTCTGGTAGTTTTGACCTTTTTCACAGTGCGGCAATTGGACTTGAATCCTGAGTTCCATTAGTAAGGATAGTTCTTATCAGAAATTCATCTATTTCAGCTTCTCATTTATGGAAGTACTAATTTCTGTTGTAATATTTAAAAAAGAAAATGCAATTGTTTATTATTCTCACAAGCAATGTGCTCGACACTTTTTTAGCTAAATTTCTGCAACAAAATGAGCCTATTAGCACTTATTTTGTGAGCTAAAATAACTTTTAGAAGGATCTATACCAGGTATTTTGTTTACTGAATTCCAAGTATAAATTTATTCCGGTTTTTAAATCGATCCTTATTTCTTAGATAGCAAATCTCTGATAAGTCAGGTGAATAAATCGAACCCCTGTTTTTTATTACGAGATAGCAAATCTCTAGTATGCCAGGTGTAAAATTCGAACCCCTATTTTCTATTACGGGATAACTAAGTTCTGATATGTTAGGTGTATGAGTCGACCCCCTAATTTTGATTACGGAAAGGAAAATTTCTAGTATATCAGGAGCATAAATCGATCCCCTATTTTTGATTACGAGGTAGCAAATTTCTGGTATGTCAGGTGAATAAATCGGCCACTATTTTTGATTAAAAGACAGCAAATTTCTGGTATGTCAGGTGAATAAATCGGCCACTATTTTTGATTAAAAGATAGCAAACTTCTGGTATGTCAGGTGAATAAATCGAGCTCCTATTTTTGATTACGAGATAGCAAATTTCTGATAAGTAAAGTATCTGACAGATCTCTGACAAGAAAAATAAGAAAATTTCTAAAAGTATAAAAACATAATGAAAATATTAAGCCTACAAAATTGTTTCGGATTAAAAATATTTCAAATCGAAAATACTTAACATAAACAGAAAATTTTCGCGCTCACTCATATACGTCCAATGATACGACTACGAGACGCGTTGCAAAAAGGGGAAGCTATTGTAACTTTTTTTTTAAAAAAAGTATGGAATTTCAAAATTTTTGTATGGGGAAGGGGGGGGGGTGAAGACGATGGTTTGCGAAAATCAGCATTCCTTGTTTCAGGGTGTGTTCAAAAAGTTTTCATTGTGATATATTTTTTGAAATACTCTTGAATAAGTTATATCTTAATTTTTATTATTCGTATTTTTTTTTCACAACATAATTTGAAGTTACGTTTTTTTTAAAATTGATATGTAAACAAAATTTGATGAGAATTGCATAAATTAAACTATGCTTGGTAACACAATATAGGAGTATGAGATTTATTAGCTCCATAATGTTATATGAATAACGAATGTAAATAAGTTTTCGTAAAGAATTTATTATTTTTCCCTAAGAATATCAAATTTGAACTGAAAGAGTATCTAACGAAGCTGTCTCATCGAGTTTCACTTAGTAGTATGTTTACCGTTATATTGTGGTTAGTATCTATATTTCAATTATTATCTTCACTTAATTAACATAATATATTAGTTACAGTATTATTATATTAATATTATCATTATTATTCATTATTAATACTATTTTATTCATTATCCACATTTTCTTTAAAATACTTATTAGTTAACATTTAAATTATGTATTTTTGTATTTTTTTAGTTACAATTGATGATTTATTTTTCGTAAATTTGAGGAGAATTACAGTCCATATTCTTTTTTTCTCACAATTTTAAAACTCGTGCATGAATTTTAAATCTTCATCTTCAAAGTATTTATGTTTACGTGCAATTAAATTTGTTTCTTCAACATTTAAAGATAGAAATAAAATTTACGATCTATTGCTAAATTATACTGTGTGTCACTAGCCAGGGGTCTGTTTAGAAGAAATTTGGGTCCGTTGACGGACCCTTGACAATTCATAAAAACGGATCCTTCACAAAATAATTTATCTTTTAGTCGAACCCTTCACAAATTTGTTTATCTTCATTATTATCTTGTTAATCGAATAAACCCATCCGGGGGGGTGGGGGTAGAAAGACGGTTCGAGATAAACTAAATTTCCCTAAGTTTAAATTCCGTATTCTAAGAAAATATTTCTACTTTTACAAACATCGTGTGCGCATTCTTATTGATGTTAAATCATATTTTTTTTTGTAAAGGAATAATTGATCCGTTTATATTTATTCTTGAAATTAATTAATTTAATATTATGTAAATAAAAATTCAATTCTGGCAAATTTTTAAATAAAATATTATAAATTTAAGAATTGTTTAAGTTTACTTAATGCGTAACACATTAAAAGTGATACATTACTAAGCTGTGTTATTTAAAATGTGTCAATTGAAATTATTAAAAATGTGAGTGATTTTATTTCCATTGTTTGTCCGAAATGAATATTCTGTGCTGAGCAGTATAGGCTAAATACCAAATATTTGTATGTTGCATCTCTAATTTAGTAGAAGCAATTGTTGAGCAGAATCTTGCATCTATTTACAATTTAAAGACTTCTTGAAAAGGTTTTTAGCAATTTTTGCAATAACAGGACCCTATTTGCACAAATTCACAAATGCAGGGTGAAAACCCTGGGTGAAAGAATGTGACTTAACGCTTATTTTATATTCACACATTATTAAAAGTTTTTTTTTCACGATTTTACAAAAACAGGACCTTTTACAAAATGTCTGGACAGACCCCTGCGTTTGCAATGAGCTGACATCAATGGAGGTTTATATTGCAATGACTGCTCATGCTTTTAAGTCATATTACTTGCTCAATGCTTTTTATTTTAAACCGCTTACATTAAGCTCAGATTAACGGAGGCTTATTATAATGAGCACTTTTGCTTTTATGTTATTTTACTTTGCTCATTGCTTTTTAATTGAAACTGTTTCCATCGAGCTCATATTAACGGAGGCTTATTGTATTGAACACTTTTTCTCTTTTATTATAATGCTCAAGCCATTTTTTTTATATTCTAACACTTTCGCAATGAACGCAAAGTAATGGAGGCTTATTGCAATATATCTGGTTTAACAAAGACTTTTTTTTAAAAAACAAAATTAAATAACTAAAATTAAAACTCCGGTTGAGTTAGCGCTGAATAATTTCTGCTTACGAAATAAAAATTAATAAAGCGTTGAACTGTAGATAATTACTAAATTGTACTAAATTTTCTCTGCTACACAATACTTCTCTCGTTAAATAACGTAGGTGAAAACAGTTTTTCATGGAGGAAGCTGAAATTACGAAAACATATAAAAACTAACGCTCAGTAGTTTACATGGTCAGACATTTACATAAACAAAAACAAATAAAAATAAATATAAAATCTTAATCACGTGAACAAAAGTTATTTTGATTGTTTTAAATATTTGGGTGTAATTTAAATTTTAATAACATAATTCATTTAACAGAAACAATAGCACGTAAATGATTAGTACAAAAAATAAAAAAAACTGAATAATAATTATACTCACAAATTTTTATATTGAAACTTAATATCATAACTCATATATAAGAATTACAATGATTTATTTTAAATTTCTTATGCTAACATTGGTTATAATTTACTATAAATTCCTAATTAATAATAAATAAGGGAGCTCCTTTACCGTGCATGTCGTTTTAAAGCACCGGAAGTGGACAAAGGGTCATTTTAATCCGTCGTTGAACAGCCGACCCGCATTTGGGCACCTACCAATGTTGAACTTCGTAACCTTGTAATTTTGAACTCAATCTAGAAGACGAGGGAACTTCTGGATCAAGTATTGGGTAAAATTTACGTTCGTGTAGGACTTTTTGATGGATCTATCTCACATTTGCGTTACGTGGAAAAGAAAACCATGAAACTCTCTAACGGTTATCCCGCCGGCAAGGAGGCTCAAATCCATCACCCGTCTACCACTGAGTATATTTGTGTTACAATATAGCGTTGAAATATTTCAAATACGCCGACCAGGTGGCCGAGTGATTAGCGCGCCTGACTGCGGAGCCAATGGTCACGGGTTCGAATCCTGCTCAGGGCATGGATGTTTCTTTCTCTCTCTGTGTGTTCTATGTCTTTCTCCTTTGTGTGTATGATTGTGTGAATGTGACCCACCCTATAAACGGGTTTGTGGTTGTGTGACGTGGGCAACGCTGCTCCACCGCTGTGGCTTCGCCACAGGTGTCCACTGGGTAACCAGAAGAGAGTAGCAGTTCTGAGGCCAATGGGTCTACATTCTTGAGGCCAATGGGTCTACATCTCAAGTGCCCGCCATAAAAAAAAGATATTTCAAATACAAAAAAATTTAAAATTCAAATGCTTTTAATTTTCGTAAAACTGTAGCATTCCTTCATATTGACTTTTTGGGCCATTTTCATGATAAACTTCGAAGAGAACTGTGGGTAAAGATGAAAACAAGATATAAAAATAGTATAATATTCATTGAAAAACGTTATTTCACATAACGCTTAACAGTTAAAGAACAGCTTAAATAAGTTATGAATTAATAATTAGATTTTCATACTAACATGCTATATTAATGGTTCAAGAATTTAAATCTTTTTCGGACGGAATTAAGTCTTTAGATCCAAAGTATACAGATAATCGCTTTTTGAAAAATTAAAATATGGTTCTAATCTGATGTCAAAAAAGCACCTAGTTGTAGCGCTTCAGTATTTTTAAAAAACTTCTCCGTATAATTTCACTTCATAAAATTCGCATAGTTTGCATATTCACAAAAATAAATAATGGGAAAACAATTATTTTTATCATTTCTTTGATACTTTTACAAACAATATTCTAATGATTCATAAACAAGGAACTTAATTATTTCAGACGATAATTTAGGTTACAAAATTTGACTCAAAAATGCTCTTTCTCTTAATAAATCTATATTTTTTTTAAGTATTTGGATTTTACATCACAAAATTGCATTTGTTATACAAAATATAAAAAAACGTTTTTTTTTCACCCATTCTAAGATGATATTTTTGAGGCTAATATTTTAATGGTTTAAGGAATACAACTTAATTATTGCAGACGATAATTTAGGTTATAAAACCAGACTAAAAAATGTACTTTCTCTGAATGAATTTATCTTTTTTTTTTCTCAAAGTGTTAGAATTTTTCCTCATCAAAATACATTTGTTTACATCATTTCTTTCATTTAGCCACAAAATCTGAAAAGTGCAGCTCATTATTTTAATTATAATAATTTTCTTAAAAGAGCTCACGATAGAAAATTTCCAAATGAGACATTACTTAAAGATCTAATTTAATCCCACACGTCGCTCAATTCGCTAACAGCAAACATGCCTCGTTGTGAATAATCTCTAATTTTTAAACTTTTTCTTTGACTTTACAGTTAACAAATTGAATTAAAAGCAAGCAAGATCATTATTTTAATTCTTTTTTGGATAATCAACTTCTGTTTCAAACTTACAGCGCTTATTAACCTTAATTGGTAATTTATCAAAAGCGCTCTAGTAAAAATAATAGAGGGTTTAAAAACGTTTAATATGCATTTAAAAAACAAAAAATTAAAATGTATTAAAATTACATTTTCCAAGTGGGCTAAGCAGAAACCAATTCTAGTATTTTGAGTCTTAAAATAAAAAATGCAGCTCAGTATTTATTTTTATGCCCGTAAGTTTGTGTTCCTACTTCAATTTCGATAAATTGTGTAGTGATAATATCGCAGTTAATTTTGTTCGCATTATTTAAAACACTATATCAAATTGGACTTTTCATCAGGCATTAGTTAAAATCTTTATCAGAATAGCTTGTTGGAAGGGAAATTTCGATGGGCTTTGGGTTCTTTTAGACGCTGAAATAGCTAAAAAAATATGTTTATAGTTTTTAAGAAGACGACTGATACTTTTATTATCATTCATCACGGAACTCTAGTTAAAATTTAAACACACTTTGTTACTCAAAAAGAGGTCAAAATATTTAGTAACGATAAATTTCAGAAACGATTAAAGAGACAAATTCTACTTGTTGTAGTCAGGAAAAGATTAAAATTTATATTGTTATCAGACACAAAGCTGCCGTTGAAATTAAAGTACCTAAGTTATTTGAACTAGCAAAAAATTTCAGTTAGTGATAAAAGTCTTCCTGTAGTTATAATAATACCATTGAAACCTTCATTGCCGCCAGGCGGAGTGCAGCAAAAAAGAGATTTCAGTGCACTGGCTAGTTGGAAAGTGATCAAAGTTTCGATTACAAAATTTCCCCATCACAGATCCGAATGTGATTTAATAAAATCTGCATTAAAAATAAAAGAAACGTTTGTACTAAATTTGGCCATTTAATTATGGAATTATAATAAAAAACTTTCTAACAAAAAATAGGAAATATTCTCCTCTTGCGGTATCTCTAAGATAGAATCGCTAAGAATCTATGATTTTTTTTCCTCTGTTTTTGGAAAAAATAATTTCTCGAATTTAATTAGTCATTTTTTTTCCTGTCAAATTTTGCATAGTATCATTTAATTTTCATGTTTTATGAAAAAACCATTAGTGTCGATAGATGAGTAGCAAGCATGCTTGGGAACTAAACACTGAGGATTTCGCGTTCGGCTGACCACCGAACCGGAACATCTGCTCCTGCACCCCAAAGCTCAAAGTCAAGAAAACTGAGATGGGAACAGTAGGCCTTGGCCCTGTATAGGCTGTTGCCCCACTGAGTTTAGTTTTTAGTTTTTTTTTTATGGCTAGTACAATGATATATTTGAAATAGAAAAGGAGTTCATTCTATTCATTTCTAAGTAGAATAAGTCCCTTAAATAACGCCATGATATCTATATAATTGCTGCTAAATTTCAAATACTATTAGTTTTTACCGATCAAATATTTTGTTTCATAAAAACCCTATCTGATCAACTTTTTCCATTGTGATTTTTGCTTATTATCATTATTTTGCTTCTCAATTTTTTTTAAATGTATTTAAATTGAAACTTAGACGACTGAGTTAAAGAAACACATTGCGGGTAAATGGAGTTATGGGAGAAGTTTCAATTCTTAATTGTCTAAATATAATTGAGGTTAAGGAACAGAACCGAGTCTACAGAATTAAATTCTGTTATCTACCGGTAACAAACATATAAGCACAATATTCAAAAATAAAATGTTATAAAATTATGCACAGAAATCTTGATGCTTAAATTTAATTAAAAATTTTCACGCTTAGCTCTGCAAAGAGGAGAAAAAGAAATGCTATATACTAAGCCGAATAAAGCAATTGAAAAGAAAAGTTTTACTTACAGATGATAATATTAAAATAAAATCTTAATTTTTCTTTTCATTTTAAAGGTAGAAACTAGCGGAATTGTAATTTATGGTGCTTATTTAAAGTTTCTTCTTATAAAATGAATTACCTTACCATCTGAGGTATTTTGCAGACAAATTCAGCAATAACCAGCTATACTTTTTTTCGATATCAATGTAAAAATAGAAAACTAATTCTATTTTCCGTTAATTAAAAGTAGAAAGAGCTTTTCTTTTCCGTTTTTATTTTTAATGTTTATATGCTCTCAGTTTTTTTCCTTTTTTGCTACTAATTTTTTCTCTATTTGTTGCATTTTTTAAAAAATTAGAATTCTGAATTGGAAAAAAATCTGCAGAACATGTGATAATCTGCAGTGCCCGTGCCTTTTCTAAAGTTGCTGTGCTACTGGAGAATAACGTATTATGCTCTAATCAAAATATTTACTCACAATTATAAAATTAATTTAAACAATTACTTTATCTTATCACCGCACTTTATCTTATCACCTTAGTTTATATGCAGATTAGCAAGGTGATGTGCATATTAACGGCTTTCGAGCTTTAGCGGTAACATGCAAAATAAATTAATTGTATTAATAAATACAAAAACCCATCAAAATATTTAGTTCTTGTCCTTAGTGTAGTATAGTGTATGCTTGACGTCAGCTTTTTTATCTTTCAAACATCCTGTTTGCGAGTGGATATACGCATTTTTTTACCCATCAAAACAAGAAGTGTAAAAAGTTGAGCATTAGTTTTAAAACCTGCATTCTAAATTATTTCATCATTCAGGTAAATATAAGGTGATGGTAAAAGCAGTAATGGGTGGTGAATCTGTTTACGAAGTAGGTTACTATTGTGCATTATTAATAAACAAGTTGCATTTAGCGAAAAACTTGGTCATCTTTCATAAATTAACTTGTACAACATGAAAACTTAGAATGGTGACCAAGCCGAATGCACAGCATAACGAAATTTGAATATTCTAATTCAACAAACTCTCTCCTTTAATCTTAGCACCTTAATTAGTTTTAAAAAATATATTAACCAAGTTTTTTTAATTGTCTAGCTGTTGCTCGAAGCTTTGATCTCGCAAATTGCTTTGATTTCTATTTCAACTATTTTCAAGAGATATTGAAAATAGTGAAGTTCTGTTTAAGTTCTTTATCTGTTGAATTTTAGTAATTATTAATTAATAATTACTAAATTAATTATTAAGTAATAATTTAGTAATCTGTTAATCGAGAGTAATTAGAGAAATTAGTAATTCGAGAACTATTTCTCGAAAAAGGCAGGCTTCGTCACAAATAATTAATATGGCAGTATGCAGCACCATAGCACCTTTTATGTTTAAAATTTCTACTGTTATTTTAGAATGGATCAAAATATAGATTATTACTTCGAAACAGAATTCTTATTTCGAAAAATGCAAAATTATTCCAAATAAATACATAGTGTAAAAGTAACTATTGAACACTACTTAAATTATTACTTAGGGCAGCCTAGCAAAATAAATGTGAACAAATAATGAACGCGGGACTAATTTTTGTAACACGACATAAATTATTAAGGCAGCCTTGCAAAATGAATAACAAACTATAATGTTGCCAATTTATAAAGAAGTACCGGAGTTTATGATGCCACATAAGAGAAATATATATTTCGTTTCTTTTTATCATGATTAAATGTTTTAAAGGAAAAGAAAAATTCTTTTATGCTTTTAATTTTGGTTTCAGGTATTTAGAATCATCGACTTGACTCTCGAGTTTCATTCGAAAAAGAGAATGTGGTAACAGAACGAAAATCAAGGACGATTTATGCAAAACACGTAAATCAAAAAAAGAACGAAGACCGGGAAGGCAATTTTTGTAACCTAGTAAGAAAATAATTACAATAAAAATAAAAAAAATGGCGAATTTTTGCAGAATAAATTATTACCTTCTCCCCATAAAACTGCATTTCTTTTTCTTCTACGGGGGTAAGTATCTTGGATTTCATTTTTTATTTATTTATGTGATTATATTCAAATTGCCTGACTATTAAAAAATGACTCTAACTTTTAATGCTGTTTGAAATCAGCAGCTCTGCTCACGGATCGTGTTAAATACGATGATCTTGGGGGTTTAAATCATTACAAACACCTTTAACATAACATATTTAATAACTAAAACATGGAAGATGATCACGATATAGTGCTATAATAGAAACCGATAACAATTAATGATTTTACATTACTGCGCAGAGCGCCATCTGTTGAGTTTTAGAAATTATTATTAACATAGAGAAATATTATTAACACTTCCCCCCGATGAACTCTTTGTTCATAACAAATTAATAATTTCCAAATATTAATCAAAGTTATATTTCTCAAATGTTAGGTACCAATATTTTAAAAAGATCGCTAACGAGATTGGGTGAGTTCGGTCACGCAACGCTAGAAGTGCAGCACGCTCCAAATCATTTGAGTGATTGAAACCGTTAACGTCTTTAAAGTTTCAAAAAGTTCTTATTTTTTCAGAACAGACGACATATTTCCTTCTTCTCTGTTTATTTTTATTTATTTATTTTCTGAAAACAATTAAGTGTTAAATATAATATTTCAAACTAAAACTCTTATTTGCAATGCAAAATATTTTCTAAGCAGCGTCAACTGTATTTTTTCATCGAAGTAAATTTTTTTATTTAAGATGCATTGGGACATTGATAAGGGCAGACGAGATCTATGAGATTTAACGGTTCGTTCAGTTAATTTAATGATTCTACAACTGCTACATAATTTTTTTTCCTTCATTAACATGTTCACAACTAGTCCTACAAACCTTATGAAAGAATCACAAAAAAAAGTTAAAAATGAGCCATTTTTTTAACATGTTTTATTTTAGCAATTCTTAAAACTCAGCTACTAAATTCGTTTATATAAGAAGAGGGTAATAAATTGCATTTATTTCATAGGGACGATAAAATAATTGTTCAATTCAATACACTTATTTACAGTTATTTAAATTTATGTAATACAAAAAAGTATTGCGTTTTTTTTTCATTTCTCATTTATTTATTTTTATTTCTTATTTATTTAGTTTTATTTATTTTTATTTGTTTTTTCAGGAAACTTCTAAATATGGAGGTCTTCAATCCTCGAAAAGTTGGAGCACGTTGGACTATTGGTATAATTCAGAGAAACTTTAATTATAAGTATTATTTTAATTAGTACTAAAACTTTAATTATAAGTATTTAATGGTACTTTCAATATAATTTGTATTTTAATTAGTAGAGTTTATGTACACTTAAAAAGAAAGTTGTTTGTTTTTTAAACAAAGCTATTTCTAGTTTTTTTCTTCAAAAATGTAAGACATACCAGCCTGAAATTAAGAATAAAAAAATTTCATTAAATAACAGCTAAAAAATTTTTTAATAACATTGATAAAAAATTGTAATTAAATTCATCTTGTCTTAAAAATGCATTTTATAAATTTTTATTTACAAAGTTTAAAACAAACTAGTTTTACTTACGTGAAAAAAAGAAATATGCTATTTACCTTCATTTAAAGATATTCAAAATGTATTCTAACTAAAAATAACCGCGTAGAAAAGGGAAGAAATTTTAAATAGAATTTCAAATACACTCATGAAGTTACAATTACTCAATAACATAAGAAATTTCTGTGAATTTATGTATTTAGAGAAAACATTCGATTCTTTTCAAGGAATTATGACTAAGAACAAGGAGTGTTTTCGAATGTCTTAATATTGTATAGGGATTTAAATTTGAGTGATGCAATAAAAAATATTCTAAACATTCAGATGAAGTGTATAAAGAGTATACAATCCTTATTTTTTCTGAAACCCTCTCAGGATGAAGCAGGTTTTATAGCCCGTTAAGATATATTTTGGTTTTTTGTTTGATATATCCTTTCATAACTTAAATTTGCTACAAATTATTTTAAACTATTGTCATATTTTATTTTGAAAAATAGAACAATGCTAAGTGCAGAAACTTTTATTTATTTTAATAAAATTCGATAAATAATTGTGTGTAGGTTATTTTTTTATTCTTTTACAACAGGTGACTTATTTTATGAATCGATTGATTTCAAAAAACGACATTTTTCATTTAAAATACTGCTAAATTTGATAACATTCATTGCTCGATATTGTTTTTAAATGCATTTATATTACATTGTCCAACTTGCTATTGTGGTATGAACCGAGGCACCCCAACTTAAGGTTAAGATTAAAGTGAACTTGTCGCAAATTAATATTTAGGCAGAGAAAAATAAAATTCAAAACCTTCGAATCATAATGGGGAATGAGAGATTAAAAACATTAAAACTTATTTGATTGCAAGAGGAATCTGAAAGAAAATTACTACAGTTTCTGGCCAAATTATTAATTGCACTAAAGATTCTATATAAAATCTTAATTATAATGTAATACTATACAGCTTTATTGTTTATACATGACTGAAACCGGTTTGTACTTGTTTATGTTCGTGTACAAATTGGGGTTAACATTATAACGCAAGACGTTAAAAATAAATACAAATAGTAAGTATATAAAAAATCTCTTGAATAAGAACCCATTACATGTATGTTTAAATATAAAAGTATTGCCTGTAAACTGGCGCAAAACATGTCATTATTAAGAAAGTACAGTGCGTCTAATAATTTGGTCTAATTATTATAATATACTAATATAATACCTGATATTAGAAATATTCTATATTTATATAATATATCGTCTCATTTATTCAATCGTCAAATTTATTTATATATCGTCTAATTTACCCAATTGATACACGAACGTAAACAAGTGCAAACCGGTTTCAGTCGCGTAAAAACAATAAAGCTGTATAGTATTACATGATAATTAAGATCTTACATAGAATCTTTAATGCGTCTAATAATTTGTCCAGGGACTGTAGTATTCGTCAAATCTTAATAACGTTTTTTTCACCCTTTCCTGAAAAAATAATTTGCAGCTCCGAATGTACGTACTTTTTTTAATTTAATTTTTACAAGAATTCTAAGAAGATGTATGAAGGGCTGTGGTCACGGAACACTAAAACAAATGTGGGTCGTTCTCACTTGATGCGATCCACACGCCTACGCCATCGAGAGAAAAGAACTTGATATAATTTGTGTAAAATAAGAAGTCATTCGTCTGGACCCGTGGCGGTGACTATGGTAACGAGATATAACTATTTCAGATAGGGGGGTGGGGTCATTGTTTAGGGCAGATTTTGGTCGTCGGGAGAAAGGGAATCTTTTTCTTTGGTCTATTGAGTTAGCCCTAGAGTGAAGAGAAGCTACCCTCCCTGAAATACGCCATTCTTGTTTCAATAGCAGCAGACTTTGTGGCAGGGGGAGTTCTTACCGTAGACAAACTACAGGTGAGTTTGTTGTTAGAGAGGATATTTTAGCAATCCGATTCTAAATTCCCCTCGATGTGGCGATCAGAGGGGTATACATTGCACGCAATAAGAATGGCCATTGAGTTTTTCTTCTTGATTTTTACAGCTATGGCTGGTGTGAGTCCATTTGTACCCGTAATAGCCAAAGGATTAGGAATCAACGCTGAAGCTTTTGGTCTCGTTTACACTGTGATATCATTCTCCATCTTCCTCTCAAAACCAATCTTCGGTTATTTGGGGGACTATTTCGGAACATAAAAGCCATTGTGTTCCTCCTCGTATTCTTCACAGCGTTCGCATATGTTTCCATTTTATTCATCCCTCAAGTGGCAACACCAACCGATCATCTGACAGCAGATTACAACCAATCCAGAAGAAGAGGCACTGTCTTGTTAAAAGGAATGCTACGGCAACGATTTCCTCAAAATACAAAATTGTCCCTTAAACGTTTCAAATACAGTATCAGAAAGCAATAACTGCAGCAGCTGCGCAGCAACAAAGCTCAACATCAGCATTGAATCTTGCCTTTGTGGTGGGAGTCCATCTTCGCCGAATATTTACGGCGCCTACCAGTTTTGGGTCTTCTCAGTGTTAGCCGTCATCTCGAGCACGGGTTATGCCACAGTGCTTGACAGACGCAGCTTGCTACGAAGTACTGCAGGATCGCCCAGAGCTATACGGGCGACAGAGGGTGTGGGCTACAATAAGTTGGGGAGTCCTCTCGTCTCTGGCTGGTTTTCTGAATGATCTCGCAGCTCCGCCCAATGCCGAAACGAATTTCTCACCCGGATTCTACATCATGCTCACTTTAGTTGTAATAGACCTACTTCTGTTGCTAAAAATACGATTGGCAAAACCAGAGTTTTCGCTCAGTATTTGCCGGGATGTTGGCAAAATCTTCGCCTCACCCGAAACTGTTATTTTTGCAGTAGTTTACTAGTATATAGTCAGTGCTCTTACCAGCCTCTTATGGAGTAATTAGTTTTGGTATCTGGAGGATTTGGGTGCGCTTCCAACTCTGCTGGGTTTAGCTGTCGGAGTTCAGAGTTTGGTGGCAGAAATTCCAATGACCTACTTCTCTGGGTGGTTCATCAACAACCTTGGTTACTTTTACTGTTTGATTGCTTCGTTTGCAGCATTCACTGTACGCTTTATTCTTTACTCATTTATGAAGAATCCTTGGCTTGTACTGCATGACGGGATATGCCTCCACTAATGCTCCTTCCGGTACAGAAGCAACAATGATGGGGATTCTGGGAGGACTTTTCGAAGGCCTCGGTCAGAATTAGTCTTATTTTATCATTCTTATTTTTGATATTTCGTTGCAAAGAATTTTGGCCCATGTTCTTAAACAAAATAAATAAAACTACATTTCTTAAAACTTAATTTGTTACATACTCCAGGATTTCGATACATTAAGTACGCGATATAACGTTTGCATCGGGCAAAGAATAGCCTCTTTAATCTCTGAGCTATTAAAATCTGCAATAAACAAAATCTTCCCGCTATGCACCACAGCAAGAAACATAATATTCTAAATTATTTAGTATGTTTTTTTTATATATTATGTTAAAAAATAAAACTGTGTTAAAACTTTAAGTATGAGAATATTTGAACTGTTCATAGGGGGTCGTGAGCATTAAATTTGTAAATGATTTATGATCATTTAACCACCCTTGCTTAAGTCAAAAACTTTGATCAAATTTTCAACAATTTGATTTACTGGGCTGCTTTCTATAGCTTAGCATGCCTCCTATTTGACTCTGTTTTACTCAATAAGCAGATTATTTTAGAGAAGCAGGAAATTTTTTACAATAGGAGATTTTTCTAGAGAAGCAACAAATCTCTTCAGTGGTTTTTTACAACACTGAGATATATCTTTATACAATCTAGAAGAATGCGTGATTGTTCATGAAATCGAGAAGAATATATGATTATGTAATTGTTAGATTTCGTATTTTGATGATCTAAAAAATTATACACTTTTCGTGTAAGGGTATTTTATGATCGACTAGGTTAACATATAGCAGAAGATACCTCAAGGTAGAATCAAGTTAACATGTCCTATATAACTAATGAATTGGTATGTAATATTTGGTGTGGTAGTCACGCCACGTTGCTCCCCTTCCAGAATTTTATCTGTGATAGAATTCGATGAACGATTACTACGAGTTTATTTTAGCTATTTTTTTATTATTCATTTTTCACTCATTATATTTTTCCTTATTTCTATTTCACCCTTTTTCTTATTATTTGCCCGGTAAATTGTATTTACTTCACCGGATTTTTTTGAGCTCTATTTCGTGAACAAATCAACTGATTAATGTCCATATGAACCATCCAACCATGATGGCAAGTTCATATCACGTCCGGATCACCCATAAGGGGACATATAATATCGAATACGTCCAACTCCATCTAACCAAAAGGTACCTCAAGATAGAATCAAGTTAACATGTCTTATATATTGTTTGTCTAAGCTAAGAACTCCTCCCGCCACAAAGTCTGAAGCCGTCTGGTGCTATGGAAACAAGAATGGTGCATTTTAGGGAGGGTAGCTTCACTCTAAGACTAACACAATAGACCGAAGAGATTCCCTTTCTCTCACAGACTCGAGCCGATACCACTCCAAAACAGTGACCCCGCACCCCTATTTGAAATAGACATACCTCGTTACCATGGTCACCGCCACAGGTCTAGACGAATGTCTGGAGGAGTTTTTATTTTAGACAAATTAAACTAGTGAATTTGTATTTAATATTTGCAGTGGTAGTCACGTCACACGTGTGTACTTGATTTGAACAAGCCATTCTCTGTTGCAGGTGTAGCGACAGGAAGCTTTCTTGGCGGCATAGGATTTAACAAGCTGAGCGGACGCCACCCATTCCTAGCTGCCGCTGCTGTCAGTTTTGTGTGCGTCCCAGTTCTTTTAACAGCACGTTTCCTTCTGCGAAATCGTATAATATCATTCACCGAAGATGAAAAACGTAACATCGAAGCCACAACTCAGAAGAGATATGACGTCGAACCTCCTCCTGACGTCACGCCTCAATTATCTTGACGGTCTTTTGTATCTTAGCACATTAGATCCATTTCTGAATGCATCATCCCACACAGCCACAAATATCCACAACACATCTTTCAGATATCTCGTAGATAAAAAAAAACTGGATATTGCCATATCCGTCAGAGATATCTGAGCATGGTGCGTAGTGTTTTTAAAAAAGTGATTTAAGGTGCTTATTTTCGATTCTCGTTTTTTAAAATCCCTTACAGGTGCTTTTTTTCATCTGGTGTTTTCAAAAAGTGCTTAATTTTCCCTTTTCAAAAATGAGATTTTTTTCTTTACCATGTTTTTCACATTGTTCTATTCAACGTTTTCACAATTCATTCAATCGCAATCCATTTATGCGTTCCGTCGGTCCATAGCATACGAAAGTGCCAATCATTTTACATGTTTGATGAAATACTTGGAAGTCCACATGTGCATCTACTGAACTGGGTTCGGTGAGATTCTTGCACTCTCATGTGCAACTCTGCTACATTTGGCAAGATATTCGTAATTTCATGCAATTTTCACCATTTGATATTGAACTGAAAAATCTCTTGATCATTTTATAATGGCTAATGTAATCAAGAAAAGAGTTTCTTCGTCAGAAACTAGTTATTTTCTCATAATCATGTAAAGTCTTTGAAAATTATTTTGTCTTTTGTTTATGTATATAGTACTTAAAAAAATTTTTTGAGTGCTTATAAAGTACTTACTTTTTGTTGAAAGATTTGGCTGCGCACCCAGCGGAGACATATCCATGAAATATCCAACAGAAATCCAGGGGTCGCATCTGTGTGATGTATAGCAGATATTTGGATATTGATGTCTGCTGCATATCCAAGAGACATCTGTCAGATATCTTTGACCTACCTCAGTTATCCAAGGAATATCCTAAGTTAAACATTGATATCTCACCTACATCTTTTAGATGTCTGTTATATTTAGTTTCTGGATATCCCAAGGATATTCTTTTAGATAACTCAGAGACATATTTCATTTTCGTTTTCTACAGTATTTAGCTATACCAAAGTATTTTCTACAGCTTTACTAAATTTGTGTTATTTAATCTTAAACGATACAAATTTTTAATTGAGCGTTTCTCATTAAATTGAATTTATCTTGTATTATGAGTATATTTAGCTTGTATGTTATGTAAGTTTTGAGAATATTAATTGCAAAATGTTATCATATATGTAAAATATAATACCCGATTTACTTTATTTTACAAATTGTTTCAGAATTCTAATTTGAAATATTTATATACTTTAAATTATATTTTACTTTGATTGCTAGTTCAAGAAATTTGTTAAAACAGTAAATTTTATAAAATACTGAATTTAGTAAAATTTTATTAAAATTAATCTTTTCCACGGTGATTGTAATATTCAGAATAAATGTTTTAAATTAGAAACGTTATTACAATTATGGCATAAACTTTTTTATTGGAAGAAAAGAACTGGTTTTATTTGAAAAATGAATAGTTGAAGGAATAATATAAAAATAGATCAAGATTCTGAATTTTTTCAATTATGAAAAAAATTTGTTAGACATCAATGGTTCATTTTCCAAAATTAAAAAAAAAAGTTAAATTAACTTTAAGAACTGTTAAAATTATTATTATGAGTTTTAATTTAAATTAGAAAAAAAGGAGCATTTCTGAAACCGATTTTTTTAACTGATTTATATATATTAGATAATTAATTTTCAAATTAAAAAGTAATTTTTTTTTCCTTTTTCAAATATCTTTAGTCAGACGATGAACAAAATAATTAAACAAATTCTCATGAATTGATGCATTGTAAATAAGGGCACATTATTCGAGTGGCAGCTCATATGCTTTTGCAATTATTGTTAAATACTAACTCATAAAAATTTTACTTAAGAAATGCAATTTTTTCTTGAAAAAAACGAATAATAAAAAGTGACAGTTAATCTTTTTCTTTCTTCTTAATTTCATGATTTTTTTTCTTCTCTTTATTCATTCTATAATTTTTTTTAACAATGCACAGAAGAAATTAGTTTATGTTTAGAAAAGAATATTATTTTTGTTGAAGTGTAACAGTTGAAGTGTAAAGGCATTTTCAGAGTAGCTGAATAATCAAACTACCAGACATTAATAAAAATAGTAATAAAATGTTGAGAAAGTAGTTTTGAAAAGATTTGAAGAGAAATATTAAATATGCAGTAGAAAACATAAAGTTAGTTTATAATCCAAGGTTTAGGTTATTATTCAGGGATAAAATTATTATCCAAGAATGAAATTACTATTAAGGAATGAAGTAATTGTTTAATGGTTTGTTAAATTAGGTTTGGGATAACATCAAGCGTTGTAAATCCCACTTGATAACAGCAGAATTTAAGTTTGTATCTTACTAAAGACTATCGAAGACAGTTTTAAAAGGGAAATATTTCTTTTTCCCTTGGCACCAAGCCAGCTGAAATGTTCTGCAGCAGAATTGCTCAAAAGTTTCGCTAGAGTTCTTTTTACGGTGGCATCCACTGTTCCACCGCCACAAGTAGATAGTCTTTTGATCTAACAAATAAATTCAAATTAGTTGAAACACTTAAAGCAAGACAAATACCATCAATTTACTATTTAAACTAAAATTTCTTGTATCTTGGAATCTGTTAAATCCTTTTTTACTTGATCAATATTCTTCTATTGAAGGTATAGGAAGAATAAATTTGAATTCTTCCTCAGAATTATGCTGTGCGACAGCATTAGCTAGAAGGAAAAAAAATTACTTTTAAAATTTATTATCAGGGCCCGGCTTAGCCTAATTGGGGCCCGGGGCAAAAGCTTCTTTGGGGTCCCCCCTCTGCTTCAGTAATGAAGAACAGAACTTTATAGAGATTTTTAAATTTTTCACCTCATTATAGATAACAAGAAAATTGACTAGAGCTTAAAATAGCTATAAAATCCCCCCCCCCTCCTATGATCAGACGAAATATCGTCCTGTCCATTTTATTGACGATGGTTCAATTAAGCTAAACAGAAGCCTGTATTTTTGACAACATATCGCATCTTGCGATATGTAAAAATACAGGATAGTCAAATTTCAGCATCGTAATTGCGAAAATTTAGCCGAATTCCGCCCCTAGAAAGCCATGGATTTATGAAATATAGATTGTGTTTTTACGTTAGATTAATGAAGAAGCAAACATGAAACTGACGGATTTGTACTGATAAAAAGATGATTAAAGAAGGAAACGTATATTAACTTTCTATTCGATTTGGCCCCTGCCTTAGTCAGGCTCTGTTTATTATCCAATAAATGATGAAATAAGAAAAAAGGCTGAACTGAAAGGCTGAACTTTGGATTTGTAATTCCTTTCAAGAAGTGAAATGTATTTTTTTCAATATCAGAGGATCTTTTTTCTTAAATCTGTCTCTGTGCTCAGTGCCGGATTTAGCGGGGCCCTAGGCCATTCAAATTTTTGGGGCCATTAGATTAAATTTTTTTTCTCGTATATTTTTTATTTATTCAAATCTAAAAGTATTTATAGATCTCTTCATTTAAGAAAGTAATATGATTAACATTAAGCAAAAAAAAAATCGTNGGATCTTTTTTTTTAAATCTGTCTCTGTGCTCAGTGCCGGATTAAGCGGGGCCCTAGGCCATTTAAATTTTTGGGGCCATTAGATTAAATTTTTTGTCTCGTATATTTTTTATTTATTCAAATATAAATGTATTTATAGATCTCTTCATTTAAGAAAGTAATATGATTAATATTAAGCAAAAAAAATCGTATTTTATTAATATATATTTGAAATTGATTTTTTTTTAAAAAAATCATTGTTTCTTAATTTTTTAAAATTTATTATCAAAAAATCCATTTTAAGGGGGCCCTAATCATTGGGGGCCCCAGGCCCACAAGCAAATTAAGAGCTCTAGAGTATAAGAGAGATGTCAAGAGACTACTTTTATATTTTTAGATTAAAGAAAAATTAAATAAAAGATTAGAAAAATTAAATAAAAGATTAGAAAAATTAAATAAAATATTAGACAAAAGAAGTAAATAAAAATTAGGTAAAAGGAAACATTTAAAAATATTTATTATGGAAAATCCCTCTTTCAAATAATGTAGAGTGGAAATCATTTATAGTACAATCTTAATATCCCTACAAAACAAAGGTCCTTACAGACTTAGTAATTACTTACTTTTTTGCAACAAGAAACTTCATCGCAAAAACAAAAAACAAATGACTTATTTGTTATTTATTGTTAAGTACTCATTTTTATTGTTGAACTTATTTATATTGAACTTATCTTTATTTTTAGATACTCATATACTTAATATCATATCTACCTCGTTATAGAACGAACAAGATGTTAAAATAATAACTAAATATCTTAAGACTAATGTTCTAATCTACAACAAACAATATTTCAGTCTAAGTTATTCAGTATTATTTAAGGTAAAATCCTTTCAGTATTATTTAAGGTATAATCCAATTAGAAGAAATGGACTGTTTATTCATTTCCTTGACATTTTGAGACCATGTAGTGTTTGCCATTTAGCGCTTAGTTAATTTTTCTTATGACTATGTTTTTAATTTTTTTTTAAATTTAAACTAAGTATTAGTAAAATTGTTTATAGTTTTTTGCTATAAGTATGCATGTCATATTCAATATATAATTTCCCCCCCAGAAAAATACAACACAATATTTTTAAAAACATATTTTTTAATCATTTATATGCTACACTTTTTATTACTGTTGACTGTTTCTAAAATAAAAATTATTTTAGTAGCCTATTTCTTTTAATTACATAAACTATGAATATAATATAAACTATGAAGTGAAATACTTCTTTTTTACTTCAAGCATCATGTATAATTTTTATGATATATTGCCACTGATTTCATCTATCCTTTTTATTATGTTAGAATATGAAGCAGTTTATTATGCAGAATTTTTTTGTAATTGTAGTATATTGTATGGTTTTTCTTATTGGGAAAGTTAAAAATAAACAATGAAAATTTTATTTCCCACACAAGAGGTTTATTATCTAGAATTTTTTTTGTAATCGTTATATATTGTATGCTTTTTCCTATTGGGACATTTAAAAATAAACAATAAAAATTTTATTTCCCATACAAGAAGTTTAATTCTGTAGAATTTTTTTGTAATCGTTAAATATTGCATGCTTTTTCCTATTGGGAA